TGCAATGGCACGCTTATGGCCACTGCAGCCTCGACCTGCTGGGTTCAGGTGATCCTTCCACCCCAGCCTTCCAAGTAGCTGGAACTACAGGCATGCACCACTACATCCGGCTAATTTTTTGATTTATTGTAGAAATGAGGTCTTGCCAAGTTGCCCAGGCTGGTCTCAAACCCGTGAGCTCAAGCAATTCTCTCACCTTGGCCTCCCAAACTGCTAGGATTACAGGCTGAGCCACCGAGCCCGGCTAGAAAACCAACTTTTAAGAGGACTAGTTGCTGTACTACTTGTCATTTACTGAACCCCTGTGTGTATGTTTCAGTCTTTTAAAAAATACATTCACATGCGCAACATGAGTCAAACACCATGAAAGTGCAAGCTGTTGTGACTAGTGTACCATTCTTCCTCCCTGAATCCTCACTCCCTAGACAGACCCCCCACAGGTAACCACTTTACCAAGTTTTCTGTGAATCTTAGAATCTTTCTAAAGACTTTCCCTACACAGTCATGCATGGCTTCGCAAACCTACAGGAGAAGCCTGGGTGTCCCCATTTCTAGATGGAAAAGTGGGGGCTCAGGTTGGCTAGGTTCCGGCTGGTGCACGGCAGGGCCATGACCCCAACTGTGGCGGGTCTGGCTTTGGATCCTGGGGTCTTTCCATGGAACCAGGTGCCCTCTCTTTTCAGAATGAAAGGGGCCACTCGGGGCCAAGCAGGGAACATCTGGGGTTTCACTTCTGGGTCCGTCATGCTGTCGCTTTGTTCATTTACACCCAAGCACCCTACAGACAGGACGGGACCTGGCAAGGGCTCTTCCTGGGGGCCCCCTTCAGCTCAGCACCCCTTACAAGAATGGGGGTGGAGGGAGTTGAGTGAGTCATGCTCCATCAGGAGCACTGTGTACGGTGGCCACGAGGGTGTATGTGTGCGGCAGTGTGTGCTGAAAGTGAGTGTGGCCTCAGAACCAGGGTCAGCACCCAGCTTGACTACAGATGGTAGTACCACCCCTGTGAGGTTCCTGGGAGGCAATACCCTTGCCTGGCACCTAGCACAGGAAGTCTTTCAATAAACATTCACCGTTCTTAGGCCGGGTACAATGGCTCAAACTCGTAAGCCCAGCACTTTGGAAGGCTGAGATTTGCGTAGAATTGCTTGAGGCCAGAGTTTGAGACAAGCCTAGGCAACATAGCAAGACCTCATCCTTACAAATAAATAATTAATTAAATAATTAAATTAGCCAGGTGTGGTGGCACGCACCTGTAGTCCCAGCTACTTGGGAGGCTGAGGTGGGAGGACTGCCTGAGCCCAGGAGGTTGAGGTTGTGGTGAGCCGTGATTCTGCCACTGTACTCCAACCTAGGTGAGAGAGTGAGACTCTGACTTAAAATAAATAAATATTAACGATTTCTGCTATGGCTAGCTGGATAATCTTTACACATTGCTCACCCACTCTGTGCAAGTTGCCTCGACCAAAACATAGGAATAATATTGTTCTTATGTTATTATACTATTATTTAATACCTAAGTTGGACGCGGTGACTCAGCCTGTAATCCCAGCCTTTTGGGAGACCGAGGCGGAGGATTGCCTGAGCCCAGGGAGTTCAAGACCAGTCTGGGCAACTTTGTGAGACGTTGCCTCTATAATAAATCACAAAAACTAGCCAGGCTTGGTGGCATGTGCCTGTAGTTCCAGTTACTTGGAAGGCTGAGGCAGAACGATTGTTTAAGCACAGGAGGTCGAGGCTGCGGTGGCCGGGAGCGGCCACTGCACTCCAGACTGGGTGACAGAGTAAGACTCCAACTCAAAAAAAAAAAAATCTACTATTTAAAAAATGTTACCTATTTACTTGACAAACTAGTATTGTTTTAAATAGAATTAGCATAGTGCCAGGTATACAAGGGGTGCTTAACAAATAGGATTTTCCATTTGTTCCCTTCCCTTTACCAGCTTTAAGTCAAGATCTTGGTCTTCCTTTCTCCCTGTTCTGAATCTAATTTCTGTAAGCGAACAATTTTAATTTCCACTCAACATATTAACTGAGCACCTACTGTTTACTTGTCACTCTGCTATGTCCTGGGGGCATGGAGATGAATCGATGCCCTCAAGGGACTAATAACCAAGCACAGGAGACTGACTGAGAACAGGGGAGCCAGTTGTAGTTCAAACTGTTGGCGGGGCTTAGAGGTGCTCCTGTGATAGAGAAATAGACTTAGTGACTTCATATCTTCGGTGCCTCAGTTTCCCCTTCTGAGGTGTGCCCTTTCATGTTTCTTGGCATTTGGAAAGTATGGGCCACCCTGGCTGACAGTCTCAGTGTTGTGGGGACCAGAGTCTGAGTGCTCCCCCCTTCCCACTGCCTCTACTCCCTCACCACCCCACCCCACTGGAAACCTCGAGAGACCCGGGGCATGCATGGGCTGCAGGAACTCATGGCTGCCACCCGGGACCCTCTACCTTCCTCCTTGCCACGCCTCCTCCCTACTGTTGTGCCTCCAAGGCCCTGCCACGCCCGGGCACCCTCCCAAACCCATACTGCCCCACAAAGAAGGCTTTTTAGGGCCGGAATGCCTCAGCCAGGACTCTGCGCTGCAAAATCCAGAATTATATAACAGCTGGAGTACAGAGCGATGATTAGTGTGACTTCAAGATTTTCCATTTACACAAAGATTAGCTCCAGGGTTCCTTTAAATAGCTGGCTTTGCTAATGCACTTGTGTTGCAAAGGAAGCGTAGGCAGGGAAAAGGACTGGCTGGGAGGCAACCGGCCCCAGTGCCAGGTTGCAGGCGCGATGTGTGGCATCACTTGAGCCCTGGGGGCTTCTTACTTCTTAGCTGGCAAGGGAGGACATGCAGACCCAAGGTGGCCTGGCCGCAGTGACGTGAGGGTCGTGCAGCCTGCCCTGCTCAGATTCCCAGGTCCAAGCCCCTCACTGGCCCCTGCCCCTGCCCATGCTGGTCTCCTTCCAGGTCCCCACCTGCCCTCTTCCTGGCCCCGTCCCCTGCCACACACCTGTGCCCCAGACGTCCCGCCGCCTGCAGTTCCTGGATGTTCCGCCTCTCTGAATTCCTATTTCTCTGATTTGCACATGGAGGTCCTGAGGCCTAGAATGCCGTTCCTCGCCCTCTTCCCCTACTTGTCCTTCCAGACATAACCCCATTCCCCCTCCTCCAGGAAGCTTCCCTGACCTCCTTCCCTTAAGGAGGGTTCAACACCCCTTCTCTGTGGTCCAGGGATCCCTGAACCATGGCACTGTCGGACACTTTAAGTCCAGTGACTGTATGGCCACCGGTCACTTATTAAAATTTGTATCTGCCATGAGAGATAACGAGCTCAGGGACAGGGTTGTATTTGACTCTGTAAATGTGTAGTAAATGAAATTAAGTAAATAAACAAATAGTAATGACTTTTCTATTTTTTTAATCAGAGTCTCCTTGTGTCAGCCAGGCTGGGGTGCAGGGGTATAATCATAACTCACTTCAGCCCCCAATTCCTGGACTCAATCACTCCTCCCACCTCAGCCCCCAGAGTAGTTGGGACTACAGGTGGGCGCCACCATACCCAGTCAATTTTAAACTTTTTTGCAGAGATGGGGATCTTGCTATGTTGCCCAGGTTGGTAGCGAACTCCTGGGCTCAGGCGATCCTCCTACTTCAGCCTTCCAAAGTGCTGGGATCACAGGCTTCAGCCACTATGCCTGGCAGTAACTACTTTTCCTATGAGGCCAGTGCGTATCATCTCCAGGCACGTGGCACAGCCCTGGGTCCCAGGAAGCCTGCAGTGTGTCCTTGAGAGCAAACCCCAGTGTTGGCCCACAAATCCCGGCTCTGCTCAGCTGTGACCATCCCCAGATTCCTTTGCCCTTGAGTTTCCTCATCTTTGAAGGAGGGTTGTCCCAGGGCTGCTGTGAGGACACAGTAGGTTAATAGGTGAACTGCATTAGAGCCCTGCCTGGATGTGGCACGTTCATGGCTGGTGGCTGGTGGTGCATTTTGTCACTGAGAGCCCGGCTTCCTCCCCACATCTCCCAGGCTGCCCAGGCTGCTGAGCTGGTATCTCTCCATGTTCACTGACTCCAGTGAACTTTATCACCCCCCCACCAGTCAGCACAGAAATAATCCAATTTTACTTGATTATTAGTCATTATTTCTGCTGCTGTTTTTGTTTGTTCCTTTAAAAAAAAACGATTCTGGATTTAATTGATTAGTAAGATCACTGATTGGAAGGAGATACTCTGTAACCCTCTCCTCCCCGGACCATGCCTCCCTGAGAGAGACCCTGAATGGCCTCTGGGCCCCAGAGGGATGAGGTCAGACCACCGTGTCCCAGGAGTGTGGTGTGGCCACTGTGTCTTAGAGGGACAGTATGGAGGCCTTTGTGTCCCGGAGGGGGCAGTGTTATGACCACTGTTCTCCAGAGGGGTGGTATCAGGCCACTGTGTCCCAGAGGAGTGGTGTTACAACCGCTGTGTCCCAGAGAGGCAGTGTCATGGCCACTGTGTCCCAGAGGGGTGATATCGTGGCCACTGTGTCTCAGAGGAGCAATGTCACAGCTGCTGTGTCACAGAGGGGCAGTGGCACAAACGCTGTGTCCCAGAGGAGCAATGTCACGACCACTGTGTCTCTGAGAGTTTATTTCACAGCTGCTGTGCCCCAGAGGGGTGGTCTCGTGGTCACTGTGTCCCAGAGGAGCGGTGTTGCAGCTGGTGGCCTAGGAGCCAGGCACCTGCTCTCCGCTGGCATAGTGACCTGAAGCGAGTCCCTTACCCTCCCCTGAGCCTCTGGAAAAAGGAGACTGCGCTCTTCTCTGCCTTCCAGAGTACCCGACCCTGTCTTCCAGAACCCTGTGAAAACTCTCACCGGAGCCCTATGTGTGCACCCTCCAGTCATTCTGCATCCGGCTAGTTTCTGGGCCCGGCACTAAGTGGGTAGGTGGGGATCCAGATGGGAGCAGGCAGGAGTCCCAGAGTTTTGGGGGGCGTCTGGGCTCCTTCCAAGGCAGAAACAAAGTCCTGAGCAATTCTTGGGGGGGGGAACTCACGGAGGCCGCCTCTCCCCAGCACAGCACAGAGGATACCCTTCCCACTTCCTCCTTGGCCCTCAGAGCCGCCCTCGAGTGCAGGGATAAGGGATGAAGCACCCGAGCTCAGAGAGGCTGGGCGGCTGGGCTGCAGCCACACAGCCTAGGGCAGGGGAGTCGGCCTGCGGCCTAAGGTGGGAGCCCTGTCCCAACACGCTTCGCACCATGTTACAATTTTACCTAATTTGAGGAAGAAGAAAATCGGCGCATTCCCCAGTGTCACTCTGATGTCCTGTTTGTCATGAGCTCCTGCACATACCCTTGTCACATCAATTCTTAGAGTGATGGCCATTTTCTTTTCTTTTTTTTTTTCTTTTAAAATTTGAGTCAAGGTCTCACTCTATCACCCAGGCTGGAGTACAGTGGCACGATCATGGCTCACCACAGCCTCCAGCTTCTGGGCTCTGGTGATCCTTCCACCTCAGCCTCCCAAGTACCTGGGATGACAGGTGTACGCCACCATGCCCGGCTATTTTTTTTTAATTTTTTATTTTTATTTGTAGAGATGGGGTCTCACTGTGTTGCCCAGGCTTGTCTTGAACTTCTGGACCCTAGTGATCCTCCTACCTCAGCCTCCCAAAGTGCTGAAATTACAGGCCTGAGCCACTGTGCGTGGCCCTTGACAGCCATTTTCTATTTTTCACTTATGGCATTCTCTCCCCTCTCCCTTCTGGGTTTTGTTCATTGAGTCATGCATTTATTACGCACTTACTGTGTGTCTTGGCTCTGAGATAAAACAGTTCAAGTCTCGGTCTTCATGGAACTTTTCCTGGGAGGACAGATTATAAACAAGTAAGAGATCCAATAATAATACAATGGTGGATACTGAGAATGGCCATGAAGAGAGCAAAGTGGGATAACAAGGTCGTGGATTCGATGGGGTCAAGTATCTTTCCTGAGGAGGTCACGATCGTGCAGATACCTGACTGGAGGAAGGAGTCATGTGGGCAGCTGGTATTTCAGCAGGGGCATCAGCCATGCAAAGGCCCCGAGGCAGCGATGGCCTTGGCACATCTGGGGAAGAGCAGGAGGCCAGCTGGCGGAAACATGATCAGGCTGGATGCGGGAGGAGTCTAGAATGGGGCGGGCTGGTCGCGGGGCCTCTGCAGACCCTTGGATGGACTGGCTTTCGTTCCCAGGATGTTTCTCCTGTGTCCACCCATTCTGTTATTCCCTCTGCTCCACAGTTGCACCCAGGGGACATGTGTGCTTTTAACGCCAAAGTTGTTTCCTGCGGCCTCTGTGTGTGCACGTGTGTGTGTTTGAAGCGACTTTGATGGGCACACTTCAAGGATGGGACTTTTTGACCTCTTGCAACCCATCTTGGGCTAAGTTCAGAGGAGTGAGATGCCCTGTTTCGGGGACTGACCCTCCGCGTGGCTTTGGATTGTGATGTGACTTCTGGTGGCCAGAGCAGAGGGTCTGGCAGGCGGAGGGCCTGCGGGGTCGAGGCACAGGAACAGCCTCTGGCCATAAGGGCGGAGCCAATGGGAGAAGATGTGCACAAGGACAGGTCCGCAGTGGTTCAGGCAGACTCCTCCCCTTCCCTTCCAGAGGCAGAGCTGGGTGGGGCTTTCACAGATTTTTTTCCCAACTTTTGTTTGTTTTTTAAGAGACAGGATCTCTCTCTGTCATCCAGGCTAGGGAGCAGTGGCGCAATCATAGCTCACTGCAATCTCAAACTCCTGGGCTCAAACCATCCTCCTGCCACAGCCTCCCCAGTAACTGGAACTCCAGGCACTCACCACCACACCCAGATCATTTTTCAATTTTTATTTTTTGTAGAGATGAGGTCTCATTGTGTTGCCCAGGCTGGTCTCAAACTCCTGGCCTCAAGAGATCCTTCTACCTTAACCTCCCAAAATGTTGGGATTAGAAGCATAAGCCACCAAGCCTGGTCTATTTTTCCAATTAAAAAAAATATATTCTATTGAAATAGCTTTTGATTTACAGAAAAAATTGTCAAGACAGTGCAGAGAGTTTCTGTGCACCCCTCGTCAGGCTTCTCAGTGGTAGAGCTGTCACAGCTAAGAAACTGACCTTGGCACTGCTGAGGAAGGAACTCCTCACTTTCTTCAGGGTTTGTTTTTCCATTGATAGCCTTTGTCTCTTCCAAGATTCTACCCTGCACTAAATTGCCATGTCTCTGTAGTAGCCCTCTTTGGTCTGTGTCAGTGTTTCAGGTTTCCTCAAGGTTTCATGATCTTGGCAGTGTTGAGAGGTGCCGGCCCAGTATTCTGCTTTCATGATTTGTGTTTGTTTGTTTGAATTGGAGTCTCATTCTGTTGACCAGGCTAGAGTTCAGTGGCACGCTAATGACCACCGCAGCCTCGACCTGCTAGGCTCCGGCACTCCGTCCACCTCAGTCTTCCAAGCAGCTGGAACGACAGACATGTGCCACCACACCCGGCTAACTTTCTGATTTACAGTAGAGATGTCTCACCAAGTTTGTCCAGGCTGGTCTCGAACCCGCGGGCTCAGGCAATCCTCTACCTTACCCACCCAGAATTCTAGGATTGTAGGCGTGAGCCACCGTGCCTGGCTGATTTCACATTTTTCACCTTTCTATTTCCTCTTTGCATCGCAATGCTGGGAGGCTGAGAAAGGTCGAGGTCCAGCTCAGAACTCAGAAATTGAAGGTAGGGGAGAGGGACTGAGCTCAGGACTGGCTCTGCCCCCCACCCACAACATGGCATTGACCACAGAAGCCTTCTAGGCCACAGTTCTTCCACCTTATTTTTGAATCAGGTCTTACTCTTTCGCCCAGGCTGGAGTACAGTGGCATGATCATGGCCACCGCAGCCTTATTCTTCAGGGTTCAGGTGATCTTTCCGCCTCAGCCTCCTGAGTAGCTGGGACACCAGGCACACACCACCACACCCGGCTAATTTTTTGATTTTTTGTAGATATGAGGTCTCACTATGTTGCCCAGGCTGGTCTCGAACTCTTGGGCTCAAGCAAACCTCCCAAGGTGCTGGGGCCTCCCAAGGTGCTGGGGTTACAGGCATGAGCCACGGCACCCAGCCTCTTTCACACTTGCCATGGGAGCTGGACTACTCACCAGGGGCCAGTGAGTGTTCACTGGGGTGAGGCTTGGACGTGCTCCTAAATGCCCGTTTCCTCTCAT